GCCCACGCGATTCTTCCTGCTGAGGAATACCCTCAGTGATGCAAACGATGAGGGGGATCTCGGCCTCAGCGGTGGAAGCAAGTACATGTTTATCATCCATCTTTGCCTCTTTAAGAAAAGTAGCCTCGCGACCCAACATTTGCCAAGGCCTCCAGATCTTCGGAACTTCGGATGTTACCCATCTTTCCTTTTCCTCCTTCACTTCTAATACACTCAGGACGCCTGGTAAGTCAACCAATCGGTGTCAGGAAGGAGGGTCCAAGAACGGCATAGACCCCAAACAGCTTGAGTCCCAGTCCCAAGACCTTTTAAACTGGCACCGCCGTTTCTGGCACTGTAGCCCTGGCACTGGAGACACGGGCCATTGTCTTACAACCGGGCAAACCTTCGGTTCGCAGCCCCTCTCCTTCCTTCATCGATCGCTTCCACCGTCGCCGCACCTCCAACGCCTCCAAGACGGCTGCCGCAGCCGCAGGCGGGGGCACATAGATCACAGAGGCATCGCACCTCGCTCCGGGGGCCACCGTGCGACACCGTGACGAACCAAAACGCCACCGACAGGACACGTTTGGAGCTCGGAGAACTAGAGGAAAAGAGCTCAAGCTTTGAAAGAAAGCAGTATCAAACAAACATTGGAGACCAAACTAACCGTCTCTTTTTCCGAACATGCCTGACCTCTCCTGGCCCCAAGGCCCTGTTTTTCCTTTCAAGGGCCGCTCTTACGTACTGCAATTCAGTATTCGCCTATTCAATGAAGTAAGGGCGCCTGCGGCCACGACCTACTGGACGCAGGATGGCTCACGCTTCTTCAAGGACGCTCCCCCCGCCGCCCTGCACTATGAACTTGGTTCCTCAATTGTTTCAAAAAAGAACTAGTAGCAAGAAGCAACTAGGAACACGAAGCTACGTTCGGGGCTCCTGGCATCCAAGAAGCCGACCAGAGCGAGGACGCTTGGTCCGGGGGCCCGGGCTGCGTCTCCTTCTTCGCCTCCATGCAGTTGGCGAAGATCGGCAGGTCTCGGCGCCAATGGGCGGCGCGCTTGGGCGTTGCGGGGAAAGGGGAGGAGGTTGGCTGAGATGGAGCCAATGGTTTGTGGTGATTGGTTGGCCCGATGACGGAAGGCCCTGAATTCCGAACGCCAGCTGAGAACACACAACGTGCCATCATGCTAACCTGCTTTTTTGTCGGAACATCACCTCAAAACACGCCAGACAGACGTGCAGAACCCATGTTTCAAAGACTGAAAACTCAAACTTTGAGGAGGATTGATCTCTGGCAGCTCAAATCCTCTTTGATACAAACAAATTGTTGTATGGTGAGTCCCGAGCATGTCCATGCAAGGGCCACAAAGTCTGCAAGCTCAGAGATGCAGTGCTCAAGCTTGGTGCATGCATTCAAACTTAGGAGTATCGCTTTTGAGTGTGACACTGTAGGTATCTAGGTATCGTTTTGCGGGATTTTGAACGGTTCGCACATCGCCATCCAAGGATCTACTGCATATGTCGACTACAATATCGTTTTTGGACGTAACGTATCCGTTTTTCAAGGAAAGCTCAATTCACAGTCTTGGATGAAACGCCCTTCGACTGTAATGTTGAAAACGATACTCCACTGCTCATGAGGCAGAGATACATTCTTCAAAGACACTCAGCATACTTACAGCCTGCATCGGATACAATTGTTGTAGCTTCATTGCCAGAGTGGTGCTGTTTGAAAGGCTAGCTTTGGTCAAAGCAAGATCAAACTAAACCAAACTGTCGCTGCACTGCACTCAGTATCATTGCTGATCGTGCTGCAGCCGCCCCTCAAGCTTTGATGAGCTTGGCAATGTTTGGCAGTGGATCATCACAAGCAATGTAGAATCTTGATTGTACTTCAACCCCCCAGGCCTCTTCAGAGGTGCTACAATCCATCTCTGGGGTTGAAGGATGTTGAAGGCTTGTTATTCATCAAGAGTCTACATGACCTGGATCCCTTGTTCATGGTCCATTGCCAATGGCAAGTCTCGCCGCTCTCAGCGGCGGTGTCTGGGACTCCCCGCCCATGTGCGTCGTGCCACCCTGAAGTAAGTTCGTTCAACGAGTCGGGAGATCAAGGTCGGGAGACAAAAGGCGAGACCGTTTTCGTGAAGAAGACGGTTCGGCGACCGGGGCCTCTCTTCGAAAAGAAACAAAACAAAAACCAACAAAAGGGCCGCCGCCAAACGCCAAACACCAGCCCTCTGCGGCAAAAGAGAAGCCGCTGGCACCGTGCCGCGGCGCGACACAGTTCTACCAGCGGCCTGTTCTTCTTAGATCATTCGGCGCACAGACTGGCCTTCTTCTTGTTGACGCCACCCACCATCCTGGTGCCATACTGGATCGCCTGAAACGTCGCAGAAAACGGTCGCTTTCACCTCCCTGGATCACCCTACGCCTGGACGGTCTCGAACCAGCCAGTCGTACCGAGCATCGGTCTCTGTCTGAAATCAAATACAACGACAAGATAGGTAGTCTACAGAGGTCTACACAAATCCCAAATACAGCATGCTAGTCTATAGGTCTAATACAGCATGGTAGTCTATAGGTCTCTGATGATGACAACGACGATGATGACTGAGCAGCTTGTGCTATGCCACCACGGCCCACCAGACCCAGACACTGGTCTCAACTCCAGTGTGATAAGGTACAGGGGCTAGGCTGAGAAAGCGAGGTCAGGAGTGTGACCTACCAAAGTCTGAATCCCCTCGTAGGATTTCTCGCAATTCCTGAGGGGTCAAAAGGCATCCAAAAAAGCATCCAAAAAGAATCTCCAAACGACGGTCGGGAGCTCCTGATCAATTACTGTAGTCTACGTACCGGTCTTTCAGGTGCTAGACTGTTCGAGATGGGAATCGATCAGTCTTGAATTCTAGGAATGGATAATGGATTCGTCTCCTTTCATCTAGTCACCTTTCCCAATCTAAAAGGGCTCGTAGGCTCCTCCTCCTCCTCTCCCTAACCTCTTGGCACCCTGCAACGAATCCTCTTCCCGACCTCCCTGATCCAGTGTCGCATCGAGCCTGGGTGGTGTGGAAGGTGCCCTGCCGCCCAGTCATGCCCTGGCAAATGACCTTGGTATCCTTGTTGATCCAAACCTGGCGCAATCGGCCGCGTGGAGACTCTGCGCGATCGGGCCGCGATGGCACCCGTGAGGCCGCGCGAGGAGTGTGTCCATGCACGGTAACAAGTCCATGCACCACATGGTAGGACAACGTCTGAAGTCGACGGTCTTCAGAGTGGCCAAGCTGCCCCCCTTTCACCGCAGGCCTTGGCAGTTGAGGAGTGGCGCATGGCGCCAGCCAGCTGCCTTCGGCCGGTGAACAAGGGGTCTTTCCTCGACAGGATGGGAGTGGGAGGGAGTGAGGATCCGTCGTCCACCAGGATGTTCCCGAAAATATGTCTAACAGGTCTGTCACTTTGCTTTGGGCATGCCACCCAAAGTAGAAAAGTGACCTGTACTTTCACCGCTCTCTCTCTCTCTCTCTCTCAAGTCGAGGAATGTCACCGACCGACCTCTGAATAGCTTCAGAGGAACAGCTATCCAATATAAAGCACCTCTTCCGGTCGGGTAGCATCAGATCCTCTCATCTTCTTGTTGAAAACTTACTATCTAGAAGATGCTTTCGCCCTTTCGCCTACGAGAAAGTGATCTGCTCTGGTGGTAGAACCAGCCCAACTCCCGACCCTTGCCAAGAACTACGAACTACAACCACCATGCCAAACAGGTCGCAAACACCGAAATATCCTGTCCGCATTCTGTAGGTTGCTACAGGTTGCTGGGTGAAGGGGGTTCAAAATCAGCCAACACCTCGGCAGAAGCCGCTGCGCAAAGCGCAGCCTGGATGAGACGCTCCTGAAGAGGCGCTGCCTCAGAACTCGCAGACTCTCTGCCGGGTTTCCGAGGCCCGTTCAGCAGAAACCCGTTCAGCACATAGCAATCTTGGACTTCGGATGTGAACGCCCCAGAATTCCTGAAGGACACTTCAGTTGCCTGAAGAGGCTCTGCGAATTCAACAACACTGAACAGGTCAGAATCACACTTCGAAAGCCACCCACAAATCTCCCACGCCGTGAGAGGAACCAGCTCTCTGAGTCAAACCCCAATCCCCAGCTTAGGCAACTCAAACCAACTCTCTGAGTCACTATATTCAAATGGCCAAAACCACCTTTGTCAAGCGTGTGTTCCCACTTCTCATCACATATATAGACACCCTGTTGTATCCAAACTTGGGGAACCTGTGGCTGACCTAAGACTACTGTCTAAGATCCTGGGTAGACCACCTCACTTGATCAGTTCTTTTTGTCCTCCCCTCTAACCAGGCCCTGACCGGCCCGGGCATCCCGACATGATGGTCGCAAGCTCTAAGAGATTGAGACGGTGCGGCCGGCGGAGATCGGGTCTCTCTGTGGAGATCGGGCCACAAGACGCGTGACGCAGGCGGAAGGGTTTGACGTGGTGCGGTTTGGGTGTGGTGTGTTTCATGGAAGGATAAGCATGATCCAATTGAGGCAAGCAGTCCGTGGACCAAAAAAGACTTCTGTATAATTTCATGTATAGTTTATCTAACTAGATACAAAAATAAATGTTATATATAGTATTGCACAGACTTTGGGCATTTAAAGGATTCTTGGCCGTAAAGAATGGTGTGACACCAGACCACAACAGCCAAGAATCCACCTTTGCCTGGTTGTGGATCAGAAGTGTGGCTATACTTCCAGGCCGCATGGGCTACACCCAGCTCATTTGCTGGTTGACCCAGGCTGAAAGAACTCTGCAGAGCGCTGAAGAACAATGACTCATCCAAATGGTAGCAATACAACAGTGCAACAGTACCACACCATACTGTAAAAGTGGGGTGAACAATGATGTCTTGACTACATCAACACCTCATCTGCACTACAACTTCCAGAACACCTCCAGCCAGGGCCTCGCGCGCCACGCGGTCGCGCGCGGCGCCGCAACACGCGCCACGCCGCTCCTGGGGGTTCTGGGCGTCTTCGGCGTCTTCGACCTCTCCCTGCAACCGTGCGGTTAGCGGAGCACCGGCGGAAGCGTCGACCCACCTCAACAGCTGCTCCGTGCTGAGGTGGAGCGACTTGAGGAAGGGGCCACCGGCGGGTTCTAGGGACCTGGAGTTCATCTTCACATCATCCATCTTCAGAGCTCAGTCAGCTCAGTCAAATGAATCAGTTCATGCAGATGAGGACGAGATGAGCACATAATCCACGCCCCCTCAAAGACTACATCGATGATGTATTCCATCTTCCCGGAATGGTGGAAGAACCTCCTAGTTGCCGGCGCCACATGGTGACACCGGTCCTGGTGGGCCTCGAGAAGACTCGGCTCCACATGATGATGTTCCGTCGCCTCGATAACCCCCCTTTCAGACTCGAAGAACACCCTTGTTCTTCCGGGACCTCAGGTCAATGACCTCATGTGACAGACCTCAAGGACGAAACGTCTCCACTGAGCAACGGACCGGGACCGACCTTCCAGCGAAAGCACCAACCCGCCGCACCCCCACGCCTGGGGCTCACCTCGGCCGGTGGGCCTGGCAGGTCCGGTTGGGGCACCTGACGGCGGGATCAGGAAGAGCGGTGTCCAAGGATTGGGATGGTGTGATGGACTGGATGTTGGATTTGGGCAGCTCAAAGAGCTCTCAGGCGATGTAAGGCGGATGTTCATTCACTCCGAGAGGCAGTGCTGTCCCAGCTTCTCCGGGTCTGGTCCGAGTTAGATCTCTGGACATAACTTGACATAGCCAGTCTGTAGCTGAGAGTGTGAAACGCCTGAGAATGTCCACGGTGTCTTCTTCTTCTTCTTTCTCCCTTGGGCGGTCAACACGAACAGTTGTGTGTGGTCCCGATCGTGAACCACATTGAACCACCCTAGAAAGCCAAAAGAGACAACACCCATCCCCATCTATTAGGTTGAAGGCAGTTGAAGGCCATCGCTATTAGATTTGAGGCCATCGAAAGAGACAACACCATGACAACACCCATCATTAATTTCCAGATATGGTGTACATGGAGTCCACCAGACCCGGTGCTGGGACCGGCAACCCACCTGGCGCTGGTTCCCACGCAGCACCGCACCGGGCCTCCACTTCTGGAGCCTTCACCTGAAACAAACATCGAGACTGGAAGTGCCAAGACTGAAAGTATTCCAACCAAGACTGAAAGGAATTGAGTGGACCTGGCCTCTCAAACTCAGACCTAAGCTCAAGAGTCATTCAAGAGACCTTGCGAACCTTCAAGTCCAGTAGGTTTAGATGTCATGAAAACCCACTGTGACAACAGTTTCTGGGGGGCAGCGGTCACTCAATTTCAGCAAAGCATCCCCTCTTGCAACTTGCGAGATATTTCCAAAGGCATATTCTCAGGTCCATGTTGTGGAAGAGAGGCAAATCCAGAGATGTCACGGACTGTTGGAAGAGCCCAAATAGCAGGAGAGATGGGACATCCAATCCACCCACCACCGACCAAAACCTGCGAGGATATCAGGAACCTGTGACGCCAAAAACGGCTCAGATCAACTCTCTGTTGTCAGGAGGAGTCCATCGTTCTTGCAAAGGCTCTCCCAAACAAAGACTGGACACCTTCCAACCCCACCAACCCTGCCCACCCCCCATCCGCCGCGCCTTGGGCGCTTCGGCGCACCGCGGAGTGCTCACCTCACCCAATGGCGGGGGGGGGGGGCCATCCCCCCACCGCGTTGGTGGGACGGCACACCCACCGAGCGAAGGAACCTCCCAACCGCACCCGGGAGGCCAAGACGCCGCTTTTCGGAGGAACAGGCGCTCAGCTGGTTGGTTGGTGCGGCGATCCCCGGACGGACAGAAACACCCGTGTTTCGATGGACAGTTGGACAGTTGGTCGGTCCACACTTCTTTTCCGACTCCTTTTACTCTTTTTTTAGTAAGTATTGCAGTTGGCCCAGTCGGAGTGCCAAAGACCCTGTCGGGTTTTGCCTCGAGAAAATATATAAAACTTTTGGGCCGAAAACAGTGTTGACTTCTTGATCCTTGATCCAAAGTAGACCTGGAAGAAGCACGGGTATACCCCGAAATCCTGGATCATCCAAGCCTTGGAGGCTATCAGTCTGGAGATCCACGGACATGTCATGTTGATGCCAAAAAACCTCTCCGCCTTGATGGAGCTCTTGGGCCAGGCTGGTTCTGATTCTCAGCAGGGTGAGGAGTCTTATTCGGCGGTCACCTGGGTACTCACTCCAACCAAGTTTGACCCCGAAGGGATTCCTCCAGCTCCCAATCCTTGTTCGGCTGACAGACACCGCACCTTCTGCACTGCTGGTGCCAAAGCCTCAGCGCGCACGCAACACGAGGCAGACGAACTATTTTCCCTGCGGGGGGCTTCGGCAGAGGGGTTGGATCTTTATCTGCAAGACTCGACTTGGAGCTTTCCATTGGGCATCTTCTATCGCCGACCCCAGCGGTCTTTACCCACTTGGCGCCGAATCCAGTGGACTCTCAACAGCTTCTCAAAATGAATCGAAGTAGACCCAAAACCAATCACAGTGATTTCCGCATCTTGGCATTCTTCGCACAATTCGATGAGGCCCAGAGACCCTGTGGTCACCCCGCCTGTGTCGGTTGAAAGGCCATGGCCATCGGCGTGGAGCGCCCTGCGACAACGCGCGGCTCACGTGTTTCGTGCGAATAAGTCACCCAATTCTCGCCCTGCAGCCTTCCGAAACCAAAACAGTCCCACGCGACACCGTCCTTTTGTCCTTTCTCTTCGATCCGTCCGTGTTTCTGGTTCCCCTCCCGGTCTCCGGTCTCCTGAGACCGTGTCCGGCGTCTTCACCTCGGTGTGTGGCCGGGGGGGGCGTTCCGGGGTGCGCAACATGCGTTCGGGAGCGAAAGTCCTTGGTTACTATTAGCATATGCTATGATGGGTTTTGAAGAAAAAAAATCCATGTTACCAGGATAACATGCTACTATGATAGCATGCTATGATATATGATGCAACCCTCAAAAGACCATGCAGCGAGCTGCAAAGATGGGAGCGGTCACAGGAGACGCCAGCACGGTGGGCGTGGCATAGGAGATCCTCACCTGGCCGCCCCAGTGGGAGAACAAAGGTCTCTGAAGGAGGTTGCAAAATGTTCAAAAAAAAAAACAAACAGGGCCTCAGTGGAGTCGGGAAACTGAGAAGTTGGTTGATGATGATGACGATGATGATGATGATGATGATGATAATGACGACGACGATGATGATCCTATGTTCTTCATCAACTGGGTATGAAGTGCTTTTCAGCTAGAACTTGTTAGACTCTCATAGCTCACAAAACTTTTGGATCGTCCACTGGACCTGAATTTACACCTGGCAGTCCAACTGAGCTGTTTTTGCAAGTCCGAGACGTCACAGAGTGATCCTGAGTCCAAACCAAGAGTGCGCATCGTCTCCGAACCAAAACAAGTTGTGTTGAGATGAAATATCGATCAACCCATATCCACCATCAAAAGGCAGGCGCACAGTTTTCTTCATGACATCCCCCCCCACGTGTGTCACTTCCCAGGGGGATGTCGCTTTTGGGACGCTGCTCGGTCCGTGCCTCAGGGCTGGGCAGGCCTGGCGGCGCGAGGTGTGAACATGGGCGGCGCGTCCGGTGTTTTTCACGACTCCACCAGCATGGTGAGTCGCCCAGCCACCTGGGTGGGGTAGATGCTTGCTTGGAGGTTGGCTGGGTGCCAGTTGGCCAAAGCCGGTGACAGGAGGTGTTTCACCTTGAGAAGGAAGGAGTAAGAAACTCATCGACCTGTTCTGCGTAGTGAGGCGAAGTGAGAATGATTTGTCTATAAAGCCCACGAAATGACGTGACCCTCTGGCTCTTTCTTGACCTTTTTTCAAAAGCCTAGACTGAGCCTAGACTGCCCGCAAAATCCCAGAGGGTGGTCAGGCTGGGTGCGGATGTTTGTGCTTCTACTAGAACCGAAACCGTCTTGCTTTCGTTCGGTGAGCTCGCGCCTCTCACCCGTTGCAAGGGAAGCTGCGCCATCCAACGACGACGCCCGACGACTGCTTTGGCCGAGTCGAAGAAAGGAGATTCGCAAAAGGCTAAGGCGAAAGGAACCCTGTGTGCAGCCTTGCTTTCGTGGCTGGCTAGGGGGCTAGACAGGCTAGACAGGGGATGAACTAGGCTATGTAGCTAGCGGACAGGCCCGCAGCTAGCCCAACGACAAAGAACTTGATCGAAACATCTCTGGTCTCAGAAGTCAGCCCCAGTCTTGACAAATAACCATTTGCTGTTCCTCGTGGTCGAGCCAAAGAAGGACGCAGGTACCCCCCAGGAAGGGCGTGTTCAGCAGCTCATGTCTGCGAACCAGTTCGCGTGGTAGACCCCCTTGATTCAACTCTGTAGATGCACTTCTACGCCAGCTACAGGCGGCTTAAAGCAAGTGGATTTGTAGCATCTATTAGTTAGATTGTTTCTTTCAATTGAAATGGAACAGATTGACATTGGAATGGGTCTCCTCAGTTTCCTCAACCCCCACGTTCCCAACTAATGGGCACGCGAATTGTACAAAGTCGAGAGAACCCAAAAGGCTCAACAAATTGGTGGAACCCTTCCACAAATCTCTGAAAGCTCGCCAAGGCAGGCGTTAGAAGGTTGCCTTCGCCATAAAAACCTGGTCTCAAGAAGCTTGACGGAGGCCAAGATACGGTTCGTGCACCGCAGGGATGTTATGAACAAGGGAGGAAAATAGACTAAAAGAGTCCCTTTCATGCATCTTCATGCCATCGTCCAAACTCCACTTCATACCCTACCCTTGCGACCATTATGACCTCATCCTCTGGCTCTCTCATCACCCACCACACCACTCCCCGACCCGAAATCCGCCTCACCCACTGCATACCTGACCCATCTTCCCGGTCTTCCAGCACACCCTCCCGCTCGTCCAAGGGAGTGTATGCATCCTTAGGGGGAAGTGCGGGGGAACCAGCATCGTGCGTCCTCGCTGCTGCCGAAGACCATCGGCTCCACGAAGTTGGCGATGTTGAAATGCAAGAAGAACTGCACGAAGAAGGCCATGGTGACCTGGATCTGCTGGTCCCGAGTCAGTCCCGAGTCTCCCGAGTCGGGCGGAAGCGTGCGTTCACCCGGGTCGCCGTTGGGTCGCGTGCCCGGCCGCGAACGGGACGGCGGGCCCGGCGGAACCCGCAGTGCATGGTGAACACGTCACCGGAGTGAGAGGGACAAATGGGGGGGACGAAGCGGTGCGAAGGAAGGAAGACAAGTGCCGGTAGCAAGGAACAAGGATGGGAAATGTTTCTAGACGCTTCCCCTAAAGAAAGGAGAAGTTGACACTAGAAATGTTGACCAGGCGCGCTTGGCGCGCCAGGCGTGAGGAGATTCAGATGAATCAATGAATCTCAGAAAAAAAATAGTGTGATGAAGTGATGTGATCAGCTAAACGTGTCTCAGAAAGTCACCGTTACTTCAAGAACACCCCCGCCCGCGGGGTCCGGAAACCTCCTCCCCCCCGCGGGGTCCGGAAACCTCGCCTGCGTCAGCGACTTCCGCGCATCCAGCAAGGAGATCACGCATGGCACGATGGAAACCACCTGGGACAGCGATGTGGGGCTCTCAAGCTGCGCATATGAAGAGGCTCCATGCGGGTCAAGGAACCTCAAAGTCGTTCTGGTGAAGATATACCATCCCAAGTTCCATACATGGGACCGGCATTGATTAGGGTGTGAACCACACCGGGCCACGCAACTGAGATGGACCACAATATGTCAGAAAGTCTTCCAGGGAATCCGGGTGAACATGGGTGAACCCCTCACTTGCTCTCCAAAACACCTAAACCCGGCACCATCCAAACCCAGCACCCATCTTGCCCATCCAAAAGCACCCAAAACTTGAACCATCTCACCATCTTGCCGCAGAAAACCTCATATCTGAAGCGTCCTCGGCGTCCGGGCGGGGCCACCGATGTTGGGGATGAAGTTGGCCAGGAAGGTCAACAAGCCCCAGGCCGCTGGCAGCTCGAGGCCGATCACCGCCAAAGCGATGCCGTTGGTCACGCCCATCATGGCACTGATGAACTCGGAAAAAGGGCAGGCGGGGTTTGGGATAGGCTTGAAGCAGGAACGCATGATCAAGGGTGATAGGGGTGACAGGGGTGTTATAAGCTCTTGTCATTATTGCATATTATGCTAATTATCTATGTTGTTTATTGACGATTGAACTACGAGATTCCTGATTCCTGACATATACTCCATTCCAACTAATAGTAGATTAAGATTACTAGATTATGTTGGCTAGCGAAGCTCCTTGCAACAAAGGTTATTCTTGGTGAGAATGGAACAAACCTTAGGGTTGCCTCAGAGTGAAATTTGTGGTCAGAAAGGAAATTAGAAACCATTGGTTTCGCAGACACCCCGATAGTAGTGAAGAACGGGAACCCTTAGAATGATCTTCGGCCAGGATGAACCAACTAGAAGCACTTGGGCACAGCTAGCTACTAGCTGCTAGCTAGCTCAGACAGCTAAAACATGCCACCCAACCACCCAACCACCGGCGACAGGTGAGGGACCAATCCGCTCGCTGGCAATTGGCCCACCCGCGTTGCGGACCGATTCGGTCCGTCTTCACCCGGTGAAAGCGACCGATTCACGACCGTGTCGGACGTGGCGTATCAGTCGTCGTACGGTCCACCGTCGTCGTCCGTGTTACACCTTTTGGAGACTTAAAAAAACAGCCACGAAAAAAAAAAGAAAGAAAAACACGCTGGATCTTGCAAGAGGCAAGAGGAAGCTGTAGAAACAAAACAGTGTTTGCCACGTGGGCAAACAGATTCTCCAAGGGTGTGATCGATGTGCTTCTGGTGACTCTGACAGCTAGACTCATACATCCTTGTTCCGACCTGGCCCTTCAGGACACTGGTGTCGACTGCAAAGATGAGTGTCTTAACCCTGCGAGATCGGCCAGAAGTTGTGTAGAAACTTGAAACCAAGATCAAACAGCCCACCTGCGATCCAACAGCTCCTTCTTTGGGCCCCCCCACCGTCTTCAGCTTCAAGTAAAGCTCCATGGACTCGAAGACGCCCTGGCGTCGCGACGCCGGCCGGCGCGTGGCGTGACCGGGGCGACTCATCCACCCGGCGCCGCCGAAAACGCCCCCCGTGACGACGTCTGAGGTGGCTCTTCGGGGGGTCGAAGAACAGCAAAAATCCACCGTTTTCGAGGTTTCTAAAGGGATTCCAGAGGATATTTACAATCTTTACAGACGGCCAGAAGGAAGGAGGCCCCAAGGTTAAGCCACCTGGTTGTTGGCCGCCCTTTTTTCGAACAACTTTTCGAACAACGTACAGGGTCACCGGCCTGCATCACCGGGGAGAAGTCCCGCTGCACCGGCGAAAACAGCCTCGGTGGACGAGATCTGGCGAAAACAGCCTCGGACAGATCTACGTCCACGCTTCAGATTCCAAGAAAGGGCTTCCATTCTAACAGGTTGAAAGGGGATCTGCTCATCTATCCAATTGGAGGTGACTCTGATGGACAAGTTTTGAATGCGCAATTGAGTCACTCTGTGTGCGAAAACTCGCCCTTGCCCTCCTAGTCCTCCGCATTCCAAGCTAATCCCTGGCCTGGACA